TAGTACTCAGTCTTGCTCTCTTTTCCCCTACACCAGAGCTGAAAATCTTCCTAGTGGGAGCTGTTCTGTTGAAGTTGGTTTCGTCGCTGCCGTCAAGGATTGCCTGTGGAGTGGAGTCGCCCCGCCGTAGAAGTCAAGCCTCCAAGTTTAGTTCGTTCTATCTTTTCCGCTGCATTTGTAATCTTTTCTATTTTTGTAAGACGTGGATCTGTATGTCAACAATTGTCGTTTATGTACCCTGGCTGGTCCTGGACAGGGAGTTAATGCACATTCAGCTTCGAAATTCTGGTTCGTGAATTTCTGGGCGTGACATCATCCTCCCCTTCTTGATTGGAAACTGTCCTCGGTTTCACCTTGTCATAGAACATATTGAACTTATCTTTATGTATCACAACATCCGATGAGGAACATTTCTTGATGGCCATATGGTTAGATCTTGAAATCTTGGTAGTCGAAAAACCACCACACTCCCCTTCTTGCAAACCAACCTGTAACTTATTTAAACAACTAGAGGAACTAGATAGAGAATTACTTATACGCATCTGGTTCTCTAGACAACACATTTCATCATGAAAAGGAGGTATAGTCAAATTCGAACATATATATACTCGATGCACATTATATTCTCAAATTCGAACATATATATACTCGATGCACATTATATTCTCCTTTACTATCATAATTGCCAATAATATGAAAACTCACATTAGAAGGGCATAGCAATTCAAATCTAGCAAATAATTTCTTCTCTAAATAGTTGAGTGGATAGAGATCATCAAATTGAATATAACCCCAAGTATTTAGAAAAAATAGCAATTTAAGCTCTTCATTCTCGCTAGCAATGTGAATAACATGTTTACACTCAACACATAGTGGCTCTACTATAAAACTAACATGTTCAGTCACTAGTTGTGGCATGGATACAAGTGAAGCATCGCATAACTCTTCTTTATCACAAGAAACATCAAACAAATTGTTTTGTGACAAACGTATTTCAGCAATTGTTTCTACTATGGGTTGCTCTAATGTAGCATAAGTAGTGGACATAGTTGGCACATCATAAATATGCATACCTTGAGTAGCTGTAGCACCATTATCATTACCTTTTTTCTCATCTTCAGAAATTATCGGCGCTTGGTCAATCGAACATTCTTCAAGCATGCATGGAGCTATAGATAAGTCCTTTCCCTCTTCGTCTTTCTTCTCCTTCTTATTAGAGCATCACCAATGTATATGGCAAAGTGATCCGTATAGATGGGACCCACATAAATAGTTTTTCCCTATAACAATCTTCACAATGTATATAGATACAAGATATCAATAGGAGAAGAGAGAGGAGTAGAGATAGATAATATAATTTATTACATATGGGTAGTCCATATGCATATGGGTATCTTTTGTTATTTTTTTCATATGGACTAGTTGCACAATGGTTATAGATGTCTGAATGAAATATTCTATTGCTTATGGACTACTTTTACACCACATTGTGGATGCCCTTACCTTGGTTATTCTCAGATGCCTGCAAAATATTAGTATCCAAAACAATAGGCACAACATTACATTCATTTTGTAATAAATTAGACTTAGTTGAAGGCATTACAATAGTATCTTTCCTGGTATCTCTGAAAATCTCATCGATTCTATTTTTCGTCCTTTCAATACTATCTTTGAAAATTTCCTCAATTCCATTCTTCATCCTTTCAAGATTATCTTCGAAAATTTCAGTAAAACTTATGGGTACCAATTTCATTTTCCGACCATTATGTCTAAATGTGTATGTATTAGCAACAAAATTATGCGATCCATTATTATCATATACCCATGGTTGACCTAACAACAAAGAACATGCTTGCATAGGGACAAGATCAAAATTGGCAGTATCACGGTAATTTCCAATCAAAAAGTTTATTCTCACAATTCTATTTACCTTGAACTTACCACAAGAGTTGAACCATTTAATGTAATATGGTTGAGGATGCGGTTGTGTAGGCAACTCAAGTTTCTCAACCAAATCTGAACTCACAAAGTTATTACAACTCTCACTATCGATTATAGTACGACATGCTCTATCCTTAACCACAAACTTTGTTTCAAATAATTCGTGGTACTGCCATTGCTCCGCTTTCTCCATTTCAGAACTTAGCACTTGTTGCACCAAAGTACTGTCATCACGTGCATCTATGGAAGGTGATGTAGCAACTACGGTTTGTCTCCCATCTAGCTTTATCTTATGTCCATAAGAGATGTAACCTGCCATTGTTAGTAGAAAAGAGAGAACAACAGAACAATATTGTTCCTATTAACTACAGAACATGGATTGTAATGGAGGCTAGCAAATGGAAGCGTCTTACCAAGCTCTTACAAGTGTCTTACCAGCAATGCTAAGGACGGTACAACCGGTGGCTGGTTCATGACACCTTGAAGGACGTGATGTGGCGATTGCAAGGATCAAAGCAGTGCTGACCAGAAGAATATATGTGGAGCTTGGGAGGCACAATATATACTAGCAAAGGAACGCAATTGTACTAATCAGAAAATGCAAAGTTGAATAATAGTTCAAAGTACTAGTCAATATGCTGGCCTAGCCTAGCCTAGCCTAGACTCAACTCAAGCTCAAGCAAGCACCCGACAACACTAAGGACTAAATATGAATCAATGCACAACTCTACACTTTGATAACATAGTCAAAGGATGAATGATTTTTCTTTTTTTTCTCTTTCTTTTTTCTTGGTGCGGCTTTTTTTTAAGCACCTTTCTGCCTTTTTTTTCTTTTTTTGGTGTGGCTTTTTCTTTCTTTTTCTTTGCACCTTTCTGCCGTTTCTTTTTTTATTATGTTTTTTTTAACAGAAACTTACCACTGACCTCGAACAGGGACTCAAATGTAAATATGATTATTACAGGGACTCAAACGTAAAGTGCAAAACTAAAATTAGAGCACCTCAAAAATGGAATGCTCACATCATGTAGGTTCCGTTTTTATAAAAATATCTCAAATCTGCTACTTAACATTTCTAGACAGAGAAAAATACGGATAGTCACAGATATATCTGATCTGATCCGGAGACTCTCCTTAGGCATAGTGCTGCCCTCACGCGCGCGCAGTGCAACACAGGAGCTCTAGAAATCGAGTAACTCCCAAACCGTTGGATAAAAATTTCTCCAAAATACAAAAACGGAAACCTGACGATGAGACGATTCAATTTTTCGAGGTCCCGGCAACAACCGACGAGATGAAAAACTAGACCCAATACTGACATACAACTCACACACTTGAGTGATGAACCCTAGACCTAAGTGATGAACATATGCATTGCTCAAAACTAAAAATTAAATCTAAAACTAAACCAGCACTCGACACGACGATGCAATCTAAAATTCAACAAAGCAAAATCTAATAGAACAATGCAACGGCTCAAATTGTCTAGGTAAAGAATAAATATTTTTGTGTGGCAATTTTCTGGTTATGGGAAGATAAATTACCTAACGGGCAACCGCGCTCTGATACCAACTAATGAGGGAGTTAGGTCCCGATCTTCCGATAGGTATTGATAAACAGTCGATTTGGGTGGAGTCGCGACACAACTCGATCCGGCTTCTGAACGAACACGCTACTGAGCCCCGCAATCGCAGCACCACGTCTCCTCTGGTTATCATCTGTGCCGAAACCCGGTTGACCTCGCCGAGAAGGCTAATCCCTGCATGCGAATCGAAAAACACAAGCAAGAACAAGATAGATTGCAACCAAATTGCATATGAATGATTAAGCACTCGGATTTGGGGTTTCACAAACCGATCTAGCGGCGAAACTGTTCTTGACAGAATAATCTAAGCAAAACCCGACTCTAAACGATGAAGGCTATTGAATAAATATGATTAAGGACGTCCTAGGGTTGCCCTAGGGCGCACACCCCCTTAGGCTAAGCCCACAACACTATTACAAGGCCCAAAACACAAATCAGATTCGGACTGGATGAGATATGTGGCTTGTTTTGCAGTTTCCCAGCAACTTGGTAGGAATTTTGACGTGGGACCAAATCCATCTGAAGTAGACTCCATATGCTTTCCAACAAGTATTCATGGGCCCCAAAATTCCTTCTAGAACAGTGCGGCTAGATCCGTTTGAAGTTGATGCTGTCAGGAGGCCCGAATCCAAATCCAAAACATGTAGAACTTTATCTCTTGTCTTCTGTGGACCAAAAGTGACGTGGTGAGATGAAAGAAGACTTGGAGAAGGTCTTGGTTTGGTCCCCAATCAACTTCTTCAATTATCCATGCATTCCTTACGCTCGGTCTCTTTTCTTTCGCCCAAACAAGTACCTCTGTAAACAAAAACATACGAAACTCATTATGTAGTAATGTTTGTTCAAATATATAACAAGTAAATCTAACGTAGAACATATGCACCTTTGGTTGATTAATACATAAGGTAGTCTTGGTTATATCCGAGCTAGTTGTGTCCTCATCAACATGTGAGTGCACCTGCTCTCGTCAGCAAAAACCGTTTCCCGAACCACGGAAGGAGTCTTTTCGCATCGGTTTTTAAAGATGGATAAGGTGCTATAAGAGCAGGTACAATAGTAGGCTATAAGCCAGCTATAAACATATTTTAAAGAGATAAAGCAAGAGAGAGAAGAGCAGCGGGCTACAGATCTGTAGCCAGCTGCAGCACGGACTCCAAGACGTAATGTATGTATGATAGGTGGGACCAGTTATTAATAGTATAGTAAACAACTATTGTATAAATTGGTTATAGGTGATTCGAAGCTAGTAGTTGGCTATATAGATTTAAAGCTAGTAGTTGGCTATACTATTAAACTTGCTCAAACCGGTTTTACAGTCGAGGGAGGCGATTCAATCAGGAACAAGACACGAGAGAGGCGAAATGGACTTATTCCCTGTACTGACCATCCCGTTCCGCATTCCCACGGCCCAGCCCACACATGGGAGTCGAATAGGAAAAAGAGAAAAAAAACCACAGCCGCTATGGCCCTCTCAAATCTCTCAATCTCCTCTTATCTTGGGCAGTAGTGGCGCTACCTCTTTCTTCTCTCTATCTCTCAACGAGCGCGGCGCGAGCAAGAGGAGCGCGCACCCCGGCGACATCAGAGCTCGTCGACGCCGGGGACTCTGCGCGGCGGCTAGGGAGTTCGCCCGCCGGAGCAAGGGCTGGGCGGGACAAAGAGAAGAAATCTGCAGCGAACCCATGGCGATTCTGCCCCTCTCGATTTCCCACTCTCTTACCTCCGCCTTGTCCGCCACCTCCTCCGGCATCGGCAGGCCAGTTGCCCGCCTCCTCCACCCGCGGGTCCCCTCCCGTCCCACCGTCATCTGCCTCGCCGCGCCGCCCAAGGTACCCGTCCCCATCGCCTCACCGGCTTCACTAGGGGACGACCCTTCCAAATGGGACCCGGCCGAGTGCGACGCCCTTCTCCGCGGCGGCGAGCAGGTCGCCTCCGTGCTCCAGGAGATGCTCAAGCTGGTACGGGTTTTTTTTTCTTTTACTGTTATTTATTTGGTAGATGGTCCTCTACTATTTGAGAGAAATTGGACATTCTGCCGTTGCCAAAACAGGGTTTGGCTCAAATGTCACTCCCTGGATTGGATTAGTTAAAAAGCCACTTCCAACCGGCCGATGTCAAACCGCTGTTTTGCCATATTTGCCATTTCACAGGAATTCCACCATTTTTCGCACTTGGCCTGACCAAAATACCCTTCGGGCTGCGGTTTGATGTCGGTCACACATACATGGACATCGTATGTTGTACTACTTAAAGTCAAACTACTTTAAGTTTAACTAAGTTTATAGATAAATATAGTAATATTTATAATACCAAATTAGTTTTAGTAAATCAATAATTGAATATATTTTCATAATAAATTTGTCTTGGGTTGAAAATGTTATTATTTTTTCAACAAACTTAGTCAAACTTAAAGCAGTTTGACTTTGACCAAAGTCAAAACGTCTTATAACCTGAAACGGAGGGAGTATTATTCATGAACTTTGCAATTCTTTTTTCCACAATGATTCCCTCAAGAAAAGCTAGCAATATGACGGATCAGCAGGACAATCATATGCAGCATATCAAATCAACCAAAGCAAGCAAGAAAAGCATCAACGCATTTGGGCAGCTTTACCTGGTGAAACCCAGATTGATGAGGAACCCGCACCGCGTGACCGACTTCAGCAACAAGTCCTAATAGAATCAGGCCGAGGCAACATCCTCTCCACCCAGAGGTGATCGACGCTAGGAACCACCGCCACGTCTGTGGCCGTAGCCATACCCATATGAGGCCGATGAGGAGGAGGAGGAGGAGGAGGTGGTGGCATGGCTGTAGGAGGAAGAGGAGGACGAGCGAAGGCGGAGGTCATAATCAGCGTGGAGGTGGTCGTCGGAGTGGACCCTGTAGGCCTGTACGCGTCGGAGGCGAGGCGAAAGTGGCGCGCATGGCTGCGTCGGGGGAGTGGGCGTGGCGGTCCGGCTGGTCATGGAGTGCACCGCGGCAGAAGGTGGCCTTCACCTCGGCCGTGGTGGCGTCCCGCCGCAGCCCCAACGTTTGGTAGTGGTCGCTGCCCATTGCTGGCGCCTATCACCGAAGGGGTATTTTGGTCAGACCAATGGCTGAAAATGGTGGAAATCCTATGAAATGGCGAATATGGCAAAGCGGCGGTCATGGTTTTAAAAGCGTCGCTTAAGCGTTGCCTAGGCGTCTGAGCGCCATCAGGGAGCAGAGCGTCCCCACTGCCTACCCTTCTACACGTCTTGGATCCTAATATCTCGTGAAATCAGGTAGACACGGGCAAGGTGGGGGTCAAGGGCGCATGCGCTGTAGGGAATTACACATGCTGGGAAGGAAATCGCGTGAAGATATGATGGAAATCGCGTGTGCAGCAATTTAGGGAGGGAAGAGTGAAAGATGGAAAGAGAATAGAGAATAGGGGTGCGCCAATTTAGGGAGAGGGAAGGGTGAAAGATGGAAAGCGAATAGATAATAGGGTGGGCAGAGATTGGAAAGAGAAGATGGTTGTCTCCCTCTTGCTGCTCCCTTCTTCTCCAATGGATCTGTCTCCCTGCTCTTCCTCGCCCCTTCATGTTCTTCCTCTCTTTTTTGCCTCATATATCTCTAGTATGCCTCTTGTGCTTGTGTTTAAGGCGTCGCCTTACCCTTGCCTTAAACTCTTAAGGCGTTGCCTAGGCAATTGAGTAGGGGTGGGTCGCCTTGCCTCACCTTGTCGCCTTAAGTACACTGGTGGCGGTTTAGCATCGGTTGGAAGTGGCTTTTTAACGAATCCAATCCGTAGAGTGGCATTTGAGTGAAATCCTCTTTTAGCAGTGGCAGAATGTCCAATTTCTCACTATTTGAATTGTGGGTAGTAACTGTCTCGGTTGACAAAATTCTGGGATATTTTAGCTCTGGGTGGTTAATAGATTGGGTGTTTTATTTTCAGTTCTTTGGTGATTAAATACTTTATTGTTTTATTATCCTCTGGTGGGTAGTATATTAGAGCATTTCACGACGAATTGGCCAATAGTTCCCTCGGGAAAAAAAATAATTGGCCATTTGGAAAAAAATAATACATCCTTTGCTGCATCTTTTCACACTTTCTCAAGGTTAGAAGATTATGGATTTTTATTAAATTTTCGAACAACCAGGAATGAAGCAATCTTCAATGATGAATTAGAGAACCTCGGTATGCGATGTGGAATAGCAAGGTTCATGATGCAGCTGAATTATAAGGATTGCTACCTTTGAGGGTCTTAAAGTTGTAAACATTGTATTGTATATTCTTGATATGGGACTATGTATGCTGATGATGCTGTAGATGGAAGACATGGAGATGGATGGCTCGTTTGAATCATTGGCTGTGGAGTTGATCGCTCAAGGAGTCATTGGGAAAAGAGTTGATGAGATGGAATCTGGCTTTCTAATGGCACTTGATTACATGATACAGCTTGCTGAGAAGGATAGTGACAATGAGGTACTGGAAAAACTAATTTCACATTTTGCCAAAATTGATGTCAACTCATTCATAATTTTCAAAGGATGAATATGTTAACTGCTCTCCTAGCTTTGTTGATTGCGATATAAATGTTTATATAATCTAATATACCTAGACGTCTGTCTAGTTATAATTGGTATTTGATCATAATGCTCTAGCCCATACTGGTATCTATTTCCTCGTGTTAAAATTGGTTGGTAGAAGTGTAAGCAAAATCTTCGTGAATATTCCCTTGAGAGTGCATTATAGCAACATAATAACTGTGAAGTGCTTATCTGTGTCCACTCGTTGTAAGTGGGTTTAGGGCCCTAAACAATCTGTATATGCTGATTGAATTGCTCATTATTTAAGACATTAAATTCTGGTAAACATCCTTGAAATATGCATTATGGCAACAAGATAATGACTCAAATAACCCATATATGGATGCATGCTTATTTGACCAGATTAATTAATAATTATTCTCATATCATATCTCTTGAGTCTTGACCTGTTTTCCATGCTTTGTCTATTGGCCTTACACATCAGTTTTTTTAACTGGCAGCGTAAATCTCTCCTTGAGGTAGTCAAGCAGACAGTGCTGGATCATCTCACAAAAAAATGCCCTCCACATGTAAGTCTTATTTCTAGTGCAGCAAACTTACCTTTGTGGGAATGTCAAACCTGTATTTGTACTTCTTTAGTCATAAATGCTCTTTGACCGGTCTACCCATTTTATGATGTATAAACCAGGTTCAAGTGGTTGGACTTCTTTGCCAGACTGAAAAGAAGGATAGCAGACATGAATTACTGCGTCGTGTAGCTGCTGGTGGAGGTGTGTTTAAAAATGATAAAGGCCTTAAGTGCCAGATTCCAGGGGCCAATCTTAATGATATTGCAAACCAGGCAGATGATCTCTTGGAGGTAAGATGAAGGGTATTAGTACAATTGTGTATACTAATGATCTTACATGATGCTCTGGGATTCTACATGACTTGTTCATTTCAGAGTAACAAAAATTGCATTGGTGGTGCTAAAACTTGTCTGTGGTGGTTGCATTTTAGTCACTGCTCTTGAAGATTGCACAATTTTGTTAGTGGAAATAGATCAAGTCTGTAAGCAAACATGGATAACCGGACAGTTTTATAATGCCATGTGAGCACAGGGAACATTTGAATATATTGGCCACAAGGATATATGTATTTTTTTCGCTAATTTTCGTGGATCTACCTCAGTTCCATTTGGGAATTTCACCGTTTTATTTGGATGGTTGTGCTTGACTTTGGTTTGTTGAACATTGTTATAATTGTTGCAGATTTAGTTGCATCATTAATCCATTAATGCAATGGTATCTCGGATACCTCAAACAGTGGTACAATGCAATGAAAGTTTTTTTTCCCTTCAAGAGAGAACTAATGTTCTAAAGCTTTTCATTACTCATAGGTACATATCATCCTATCATTTGCCTCATTGTTGCTCTGCAGCTTCTGTAATCTTTTTCCGTGATGTGCACATTAGCCTTTTCTGCATAGTCATGGGCATGGTCATGAACAGTTGCCAATAATTCTGCTGGACCATGGAACATTAATTGTCACTAGATTATTCTGGCTTACCTTTTATTAATTATTGCAGTCAATGGAATCAAGGCCCACAATTCCTGATCGAAAACTTCTCGCTAGACTAGTTATCGTAAGAGAGGAGGCTCGAAATATGATGGGAGGTGGCCTGTTAGATGAAAGAAATGACCGTGGTTTCACAACGCTTCCTGAGGCAGAGGTATTATTTGCACTTGTTGGGGCTTGGGACACGGGGAATTACATTCTTAGAATCTCTACCCATCTAGTTCTATACATAGAATATCTTTTTTACTAACATTTATAAGTACCAAAGGTTAGTTCCTTTTGGCCTTAATCATCTGACATAAGAAAGGACATTGTTATATTTTCATATTCATTGCATATTCATGTAACTATGACACCATTCAGTGATCTGTGAAGCCATAATATTTAAAACTGTGTACTAACTATAAATCAGTGATGCACAGTTATTGAATCGAAGTTTTTTTTCAATATCATGAGCTGAATGAACAGGTGAACTTCTTGAGCAAGCTGGTTGCTCTCAAACCTGGGAAAGCATTGGAGAGGATGATCAAGGATGTTATGCAGGGCAAGGCAGAAGGTGCTGATAACATTGAAAATGCAAATGCTGGACCAGATTCTAAGCTTAATCATCTAACTGGGATATCTGGAAGGGTAAGCTTTGGATTCAAAACATGGATTGTTGTTATCTTCAGATACCAATATATTTTGCATTACATAGATTGTTTGACTGCACTTGTTTCCATGGACACAGGGAAGTGTGACAGGCCTCAAGCCACGGCCAGTCCGTCCAGGAATGTTCCTTGAGACGGTTTCTAAGGTATTGTGATAATATGGATAAAACTCACTGTCTTAAATGAACATGCTTACTCCTTTGAAGTGTGTGGTTTAATTATTTTCAATGGGTGGTAAGGTTCTAGGTGGTATATATGCAAACAACACATCTGGCATTACAGCACAACATCTAGAATGGGTGAGATACCTGCTTCGTTCTTTTCAATGGTTATGTCCACTTGTCTGGAAAGGGGAAAATCATGCGGATTGCCTTATTTTCCCGTTGTAGGTACATCAAACAACACTGAAGATTCTTCAGGAAATGGCCTTCTAATGCTGTTTTCTGGACGACATTCACTGCCCTGTTCAAGTATATGAACTCCCTAGATTCTTGGCCCTTTTAAGCTTATGATATTACAGCCTAGTGGGCAAAAGGATCATGGTATGGACCTTAGTCTTGCTGCAAAAACTTATTGATTTTTTTTTACCAGTGAATGGCAAATCTTGGAGGAACTTGAGTGGCCATTACTAATATAGTTAAAAATAGAAGCAGAAGAAATGATGTCTGGGCATGCAAAGGCCAATGGTGATCTCTGGGTGGAATGTAATATTTATACCACATTTAGTGCAGAAGTAAAGTAAGAGCTTCGAAAAGCAAATAGTCAAATGGACACAGTGATATTTAGCTTAGCTTCCTACAATGGATATTAAGAGAGTTTAGCTTACTTTTGAGTGAAATAGAAGATGGCCTTAGATCTAACATGATATGTATCGCCCTTTTCCATTTTGCAGGATTTTCTTTGTCTCAAAATATATTTTCAAATTTTATATTGCTGGAAGCCAGGGATACTTTTTACCAGTAAATGTTTTTGGTTTTCCAAACGAGAATATGATCTTGTGATGAATCGATTCTATGTTTTGCTTCGCTTTCTAGGGAAGTTTATCTTGTGATTCAAGCCAAGTTTGCGGCTATACCATTAAAATTTTAAATGGAAGACAATAGGCGAGACCCCCTACTATGTTAATATTAATATAAAACTAGAAAGATAGCCCGCGCACATGTGCCCGTGCGCGGGCACCATATATAATGTGTGTGAATTTTATTATGAATATTTATGTGTAGCTGACTTTTATTAAAATATTTTTTTACTATATTCTAAACTAAAATTAAGCTTATTTAGTGTGCTTTGAACGCTAGTTATTTTCTTACAATTACACTTGCAACATATAAATTCTAAAATAAAATTACTTGAGATCATGCAGTTTTGAAATTATGAGAAAGCATTATGTCAAAACAATGAAGGTGGTTCCTATGAGAAAATTTACTGTATTTTGACTCCCCAGAAGGATATCTCGATACCCCAAAAGAAATCCAATAATATCAATTTTTGTTTGATTTTATTTTAAGTTATATATATATATATATATATATATATATATATATATATATATATATATATATATATATATATATATATATACACACTATCTATCTATCTAACAGTCCTCATAAAAAAAAATTTTCTATTTAGAATGGGTTTTAAATCCAGCGACATTTTTTTTTTGTTTTCAATTTATTTCATGCCCTATTTTTTTCAAAGTTCCATTCCATGAATCATCCTTGAAATGCTTTGATCTTTGCAATTTAGGGTGAAAATATAAATGCATTTATGGCATGGGGTAAATGTATATGTTATAAATTTTATCTCATGAAATATTGAAGTAGTGGTCATAGTATTTTTTTTGAATTATCACTAAACTGAAGTGTCTTATAACAAATAATACTCCCTCCATTCCATAATATAAGGCACAACTATTTTTTTCAGATGTTCCATAATTAATATAAGGCGTGCATGCATGCATGCAATTAATTAGCACCTCTTATCCATTAAATTATTATTTTTTAAAATCTTCCACCCTCAATATCTCTAATCTATTGGATGTATGCATTATATTTATTAGGGTGATACAAATTAGGAGGTGATAATAATAGTTTCTTGGTATTTGGGTTAAGGGTGGTTGTGCCTTATATTTTGAAACGGAGAGAGTACATGTTTTTAGATTGTTCTACACCAGGACTCACGATTTAAAATGTTAGCATGTTTTACTAGAAAAATAAAAAAAAATAGACATGGTCTTTAATTCTTATATGGAATTGACTTGATATATTTCTAAGGCCACCTCAAGGTTGTATCATTATTAAGATTCCTAGGTGCAATCCACATGCTTATTGGTATGATCTTCAACCGACCGCACCTTTATTTTCAACTTGTTGTCTATAATGCTAGATGAGTACATTTATGATTAAAAATTATATCTGTCACTTAAAATTCTTTTTCTCTAATTTATTAGTGACTTCATAGATCATATGTGTAAGTTGGATGCTATGAACATCATTATTAAGAACATTTCTTTATCTCCGAAAAAGATTATTTTAAAAGTATCAAGGTCAATTTGTATAAGTACATAGCCCCCCGTATGTATGTTAAGAGAAATTAATTAAGTTGGTAGAAAGTCACTATATGTCTAACGGGATATAAGTAATAGATGGAGGTCCATTTGTTTTTTTTGCCCATATAGATAATTTTAATTTTAATTGTTAAGGAGATAGAAAACAAAGAGAAAATAATGGCAAGGAGAGAGGGAGGTTTGGGATGTTTTTCTAAATGATCAATCTAACCATCTAAAATAATGTATTGGATGTTCAAGTCAAAAACGATGGTCAGATGTTTTGTTTTCTTGTCAGAATTTTTAGGATTTTATCTGACCTATGAGAGCAACGGAACATCTTAAGAGTGTTTATAGGTGGACTTTTAACACCGTATGCCGCAACGGAGTAAGAGAGATGCAAGGAGGTTTGGGCTTCTTTTTTTTAAAAAAAGATCTAATGACCCAAAATAATGTGTCAATCGATTGAAAATAATATTTCCATACATTTAAATAAAAACCAATGGTTGGATTATTTTTTTCAAAAATTCAAAGATTTTTCTTTGCTTTAAGAATGCCATATAATAGTTTAGAAGCATCTATAAGATGTTTAATGGATTTGAATGTCGCATAGGGTTGGGGAGAGGAGAGAGGTTTGGGTTTTTCTATTGAAAAATAGTAACAATCTAAAATACTTAAAAAGTATTGGAGTACGTACATACTCCAATACGTGGGAGGACGAGAGGTGGGGTTTTACATGAGGAGGTAAAAACTGTAACAGAAATTCCTGATCGACCGAGCGTCGTTTCCGTATAAGGGGTACTGTTTCCGATCATACCTTTTTGGCTATTTTTAAATTTTGTTTTTTCTAATTTATTTCTGTATCGTATTAATGTCGACACTGAGTAGTTTAAATGATAAATATGGTCAGTTACCGGCCGATCGAGCATCGTTTCCGAAGAGATGCTACCGATTCCGACCGTTTCCGACCCTTTTCACGATGGAGGTGCGCCTAATCAATCTAATCTAACGGTTGATAATGTTGGACCACCGATTTAATTGAAAGTCGAGGGATAGATGTTTTGCTTTATCTAATCCAATGGTGTAAAATAATGTGTCCACTAATTTAAGTAAAATCGACATTGAGATTAGATAATGCCACATAGCAATATATCCGTCAATTTAAGTAGAAATCGATAATCAATTACTTCTTTTTTTTAAGATTTTATAGTATTTCTCTAATTTAATAGCTCAAGTAGTGGTTTAAAAGTGTTTGATGTAGGATGTATAAAGTGACAGAGGGAGAGTTAGTAGACCTAGTAGGTGAAAGTCTATTGGTGAGGCATTTTTGCCTGTGAAAATAATTTTGGTTCTAATTAATTTCTCATAAAGACGAAGAAAGAAACATATAAAAGAAGTAACAGGAAGGAAGTACGCACGTACATCGCACATTACGTACGTTTGTTTGTAAAGGGGAGTTTCCGGATATGATTTTCACTGCAAAATAAATAGATCTAATGATCTAAAATAATGGGTCCACCAATTTAAATGAAAATCAATGGTCAGATTTTTTTTATTAGAATGCCACTTGGCGACTCGAGAGCGTTTATAAGATACCACTTGGTGACTCGAGAGCGTTTATAGAAAGTTTAATGGATTTCTCGAGAGCGTTTATAGAAAGTTTAATGGATTTTTAGTATATAATAGATAGATAGATAGATTTGGTAAAACTATTGATACCTTGATAAAACTATTGCAAAACTATTTATATGTAATGGCCTAGGTATCCACATACTTGTAGTGCTACGCACAACACCCCAAACAACACGAACTCTTAAATCTTCTACTATTATAAAAGTTTAACTTGTTTTTGTCATGGGATTTTAGTACGTCGTCCCTTTCCGTTCGGCATTTGGACGCATGTGTTTCAAACATCAGTTAACGAGCTATTAAAAAAAAAAAAACTTCCGTCGTCGTCAGTAAAAAAAAAGAAAAAAACATCTCTCATCCGACTTCTATAGAAAAAGAAAAGAAAATCTCCCAGTAAAAAACAAAAAATCCGTTTGGTTTTTTTGCACCGGTATTTTTTTCTTTTTTTTTTTTTGCACGCAGAAGAGTTTTTCATGCGCACAAGCCAAGGTTTTTAGTTTTTTTTATCCTTTTTTTAATCCGATCTATTCACCGCGCATCTCTCGAGTGCTTTTAGTTTTTCTCGTCAATCTTTTTTATAGCCGGTTTTTTCTCCCTTGCGCTTTTTGTTTATCTCATCCGGTTTTATAATCCCATCTATTCGCCGCATGCCTCCCGAGGTGAATCCTAGCGCCGTGCCGCCGCCATATCGATCGTGTGTTTTCTCCTCTAATTTGATTGCAAAAATCGATTTCCCACTCCTCTCTCATCATTTTCTCAATGATTTACCCTTCGATTCAGTTTTAATTCCTGGATTTAATCTCTGTTCTACAGTTGCCGATAATGACGGTGATCTTCCCCGGTCATTTTTATCCCGAGTTTTACGCTCTGATTTTGGGGAAAATGGAAAGAGTAGATCGAGTGGATCAAAAACCCTCGAACAATTTTGGTTACCCAAGAAAGATTCGGGCGGATTTGATGGGGAGATTTGCTTTGGCAAACGTACGGGCACGGGATTATCTTCGGGAGGTTGAAGATGGTAGTTATATTCGGGAAGTTGAAGATGGTAGGGTCGAAGAGAAGTAGACCAAATGGAGGGAGGTAGCGGACTAGCCTAGAGCTGAAAAGGAAGGAAGGCTTTCAGCCAAAAACCCAGGAAATATTTTCATTAACTTTTTTTTAATTATTATCTATAGCGATCCCAATGTTAAGATTTTTATTAACTTTTTCAATTACAGTGTATAGTGATCCCAATATTTCAATTTATTACTTAGCTCTTAATATATCACTGAAAAAAGTCTTTACCTGTTGCAACGCACAGGCATCTTTTCTAGTTTATTATAAAATTTGGAACTCTCCCCTGTGTATTGTAGAAACTAATAACATTAACACCCATATACTTCAAACCAGTTTTTTATTTTTTTTGAAAAATATACATTATGTTTTGTGTTTTTCTAGTTATATACGTGTTTTTGAAAGAATTGCAGGAATATACTCGTACCGCGGTGCGGAGGTGATGGACCGATGGCCAGGACAATCCTGCGTGATGGACGGTCACGCGTGCCTGAGCCGTGGGATTGACCTGGTACCGCGCTCCCATCCTTTCATGCTACGCCAAACAACCGGTCCCGTATTTTCACCCCGCGGTATGTGTATATTTCCACAATCTTTTACAAACATGTATATAACTTCAAAAACATAAAAAATAATATATATTTTGAATTTGTTCCCCACTGAAACCACAAATAACCATAACTTTTTTAAACGGCACATCAAGTTCGAACCACTACCTAAACCAAA